TCAGGAAGTTGTGACGCTCTCGGGCAAAGAAGGGGGCTTCTTTTCAAACCTCCTCTCCAGCTGGCAGATGCTGCCGACTCGTCTGTGGCTAGCCGTGAGTATCTACTGTTCCACAATCAATGGACAACCTTCTCTTTCTTCGGGAAGATGGCATGGAACGGTCCAGGATAGCGGGCGAACACTTTCCACCCTAAGAGCTACCAACTGGGACAGATCTGTGAATGATCTGTAAAGAACCTCAGACTTTTCAGGAAGCAATACCCGCATTAGGCTTTAGAAAGGTTCCTTCCTTGGGGTCATGTAATGCCAAGCACCTTCCGGCCCGCTAGACTCCTTGGGAAGCGGAGTAATCCCCTATAGCGCCCTTGCCAAGGCCACCAATTGAATGCACATTGCAGGGGACGAAAAACCTAGGAGCAAATGGAAGATAACAGATATCTGCACAAGCAAATGAAACACAGATTATTATTATTATTTTAAAGATCAATAGAGGACTTTTCAAAGATTATTCTAGAAATAAGCCAGCTCATTGTGTTCTGCTAAAGCTCCCCTCCCCACCAGCGCATGGCCAGGGCGTTGTGATTTGAAGAGTAGCTTTTCCAAGCCGTGGGTGTCTATGGACAACCAAGACAGGTGGGTAACACCCTGCTGTCATTTGGTTTCCCAAGCACACGGTGTCTAATACTGGAGAGGACACAGGATTTGTAGCTAAACTCCCTCTTCTAAGGCTGTCCACTTTGCCAGCCATCACTACCACTTGTGGCATTACCGATTTCACTATTTGATGAGGCGTTGTGTCGACCCATCCTTCTTTTTTTTTCTCTGTCTCAGTTTGCCCCCTCCCCTGGGCGTCGCTGTAGCGCTCTATCGCTCCACCGCAATGCCTGCAGCTCATGCATGGAAAACAAGAACAGAACGATTTGCATGCCTTTGCTTTGTGGGATTTGAACTGCACACCTTTTATGCCTTCCGATCTGCATGTGTGCCCTAATAACGATAGTAAGAGTCAATTTAAAATCAGGAATGACACACAACTGCTCTCTTTCGAGACAACTCAACGCTGTTGCACATTGAGTCAGCCCTGAAGAAGGATAATGGTGCAAGGAAACAGTTTTAGACTGGGAGCAAAATAGGGGCCAATCCTGCAGCAGTCCCCTCTGCCAACAGGCCCCCAAGTTTTTATACTCTGTGAACAAAATCCAAAAATAGAGTTGTGTAAAACTTGTATTAGACCATTAAAAGTTTCTTCAAAAGCCTGATGAAATTCTAAGAGGGCTGAAAAGCTTGCCTTTTAAGGTTCTCGTCATGTTCTCAAGACCTCATCTACAAAAAGTATCTCCCGCCAGCTATTAGTGACATGGGTCTTTCTCATCTTTTAGCAACTTCCCAGTCAATGTTCAAGCGGTGAAGTTTTATACTGTCCTGAGTTTCTCTTCTGGTGAGAGAAGCTACAGGAGTTGGATTTCTGCCTATCAGAACTGTATTAGAAGAGGCCGCTGGAGAGGGGCATTTGGGTGATACAACTGTAGAACAGCTGTGGGTGAACAGACATCGGTGCAAAGGTAGGCATGTGTAGAAGGTGCCTGGGTTCAAACCCCGGGTCAGGATGAGAAGCAACATCTGAACGCGACTCCAAGATCCAGAGCCCCCCGTGAGCAGTTGGGGATATGTAAAATTAGGAGTTGGTGCAAAGATGTCCTTCCAAGCAGACCTCGGAAAACAGGGTTGTTTTAGCTTGTTTTTCAAATATGTAAGCTAATTTCGGTCCAAACAGACAAGCAAGTGGGTCCTAGCTCGAATCAAGCCTGAACACTCTCTGGAGGCAAAAAATCACAAAAATGGAGGTTGTCCTGATTTGGGCACATCACAAAAGACAAGATTCACCGGAAATGACAACAGGGCTAGGAAAAGTCAAAAGCAGCAGTAAAAGGTCAGCAATGCTGGGAAAGACGGAGGACGCAGGAAAAGAGGAAGACCCAATACGAGATGGATTGAGTCCCTAAAGGAAGCCACAAGCTTGGGTTTGCAAAACCTTGAGCAGGGCTGTTGAGGGCAAGACATTTTGGAGGTGGCTCATTCATAAGGCCATCCTAATTTGGAGGCAACCTGGCAGCGAACAGCAGCAACAAACGGTGGCTTCTCCATGGGTATAAATAAATAGAATACATTTATTTTGGATTGCATTCCCAGAATCCCCCGCTCAGCTCCCACAATCCTCCAGCCAACATGGCCAGGGCCCATGTTGACTGCAGGACCCTGAGAATTGTCCTCCAAATCAGGGAGGGGGGGGAATCCTGGTTTGGGAACCACCAGAGTCCGTCCATCTCATATTTGGTCCTCCTCTTTTCCTGCTGCCTTCAACTTTTCCCAGCATGACTGTCTCTTCCGGACAATCTTTCTTTCTCAGGATGTGCCAAAAGGAGGACAGCCTCTGTTTCAACATTTTTGCCTAGAGAGAGAGAGAGAGAGAGAGAGACAGAGAGACAGAGAGAGACAGAGAGTTACAGCAAATTTGAAGAAAAATAACATCACATATCATTGGGGCTATCCAATTTTTTTTTTTAAATCTGGAAAGACAAGATTTTGTTTAAAATCCACTCCTGCGAGGAAGGTTTACAATTGCTGAAATCCTGGAACATTTACGAAGGAGAAAGTCAGGCGTTAACTCCAACTACAAGCAAAGAACTAGAAGGCTGAACCAGAAGAAGATGAACCAGTTTTTGCTTCTTATTACTTTTTCCTTTATCTTTCTCCTAATAAAATCTCTCTTATATATATGTATGTATGTGTGTGTGTGTGTGTGTGTGTGTGTGTATGTGTATATATATATATGTTTCTCTCCTCTCCTCTTTCCCCTCTTTTAATTTTTGATGGTTTTTTTGTTGTTTTCTAATCAACCTTACAGAATAATACTATTTACTTTACTCTTGTTCTTTGCGTTTTTCTTTCTCGTTTTTGAATAAATCATATTTATATAATCATACTAAACACACTAAATTTAGATAGCAAGAGTGATAACAAAATTAAAATTACTGAAAACTAAATTTAAATTTCTTAAAGGATTCTAGTAAAGGGGAAGGGGGAAGGAGAAGGGTATTCTTATTCTTATTCCTATTTTATTCCTATTTTAGTATTAAATATTAAGTAGAAATGCAAAAGTTAAATGAAAAGATCCAGCACCACATTTCAAACAGATCTGTTTCCCCCCCCCCATCAGCAGTAAATGAGATTAATACCACGTTCTCTTTCCATCCTGATGTTGCATCATCATAGCATCCGGGAACACAAGAAAATAAAATCTATCAAGAGGCCAGAATCTGATATTAAGGTCTTTGATGTGCTGAAGACGGGTTGTGGGTTGTGCATCATGTTATGGACATGTTCTGTCGGCATGTGAAGAGGATGTTAAGGAGAGAGAATAAGCACAGCTGTGTGCTGGAGATTCATGGATGGTGCATTCAGATTCGGAGATTTCGTGAGACATAAATCAGCAGGGAGGCATACATACATCATATATTTTCCAAACAAGCAAATATACAACAATCAAAAAAACCAAGCACCCTCAAAAATTTGCAAAACTAAAATGTAAAAACCCCACACACCCCGTCGGCCTTTCATCAGTAGCAACGTACAAGGCACTATGGAGTAGTAAGAGTGAGCACTGCGGAGGGAAGTGCTTTGCAATGGCACAGACTGGCCACAAGGAGGCAGCAGAGACACCGAACAGAGAACCAAGGAAGAGAAGATAGCATGGTTATTAATGATCTCTCCATTGGGTGGCAGCAGCGTGATGAACAACATAATATACCATATTTTTCCGTGTATAAGACAACCCCCACTTTTCCAACCCCAAAGAAGAAAATTTGATTGCTGCTTCCCCCCCCAACTTCTTGAGCCCCAAGAAAGCAGGATCCAAGGGGTGCAGAAGTGGAGGGGGAAAGCAGCGATGAAAGGGTTGCAGGATCGCAGCGCTTTGATCCTGCAGCCCTTTCATCGCTGCTTAATCCCTCCACTTCCTAAGCCTGGTGGGGCTTAGGAAATGCAGGGGTAAAGCAGCCATAAAAGGGCTGCAGGATCAAAGGGCTGCGATCCTGCAGCGCTTGGATCCCTTCCCTCTTACTTCCATGTATAAGATGACCCTCAATTTTTAGTCTAAAGGTTTTAGACAAATGTATCGTCTTATACATGGAAAAAAAAGATGGTACTTGCATTAAAATTGGGGCTCTACTGCCTCCTTTTAAACTAAGTAACCCAAATATTTTTTTCCCTCATTGGCAGGTTTCCCAAGTCCATTGATCATTTGGGTCACCCTGCTCTATGCTTATTCTACACCTTTGCAATATCCCTTTGGAAGTGGGATGATCAGGAGCATAGATCGTATTCACACAAGGTCATACCACCGCTTGGTACAAAAGCTCTTGTCATGTTTCATCATCGGTGTAAATAGCCCATATCCTTTCAGTTTTATTTCTCACCCCTTTCCAGCAGACCCCTAGTGTGGAAATCAACATTCCGACATCCAGCACTGTCAGTCGCTAGCCACTGAAACCCCATCCATTTTTTATATGAAATTAGTTCCCCCCCAGTGAGTAAGATTTCTTTACACTTATACTAAACTCCATTTCACCCAGCTACTTGTGAAGTCTCCCTCTCATTTGGTTTTGAGGAGCAAATCTCTCGTCCTATTCCATAATTGATATATTTACTTATAAGTTCTTGATTACAGACGGCCAAAATCTCTACGCCGTGCCTACCACGACACCCTCCACCATGTGCCTTTAAGATTTCCGTGTACACCTAACGGCATCAAACATGATCGCACTAAACATTTCAGAGGCAAACTTAGAAAGATCGGGTTTATATCTCTTGTTCTTTCACGGGTACACCCGTGTGCCGCTTTGGGCTCACGATGCAGCTGGGTCCCAGTCGTAAAGCGTGTCATCAGAGCGTGTAACCTCTTTCGCTGCAGCACGTGTGACTTCTCCGACACGACGTCCTCTTTAGTCGCGGGGAATGGCACAGGCCAGCTGAGGCTGTGGTCTTAAAGTGAAGGTCGTCTCCGGAACGTTCAAGTCCAAATCTGCTTCTGTAACGCCTGGTGAGGGCTGGAAAGTGAATTTCTGCAACAAGCCCGTGAAGAATAAGAAAAGCTCTGCTTTCGCCAGGCTCTCCCCCATGCAGTTCCGGCGCCCTGTGAAAGCAATGAGCAAGGGGATTAACCCTGTTTACTTCTGAGCCGTCAAGGTACTCTGCGTCATGCTAGGAGGTGGGTTTACCTCTCAAGAACAAAACATGGCAAGCTAATTTACAGGCTACAGGAGGTGTGAGAAAGCTGCTGCTGTGACAGTCACAAGTGTTCAGCCCTCAAGGGTTTCTAATCACAGGCTATCTGTAATGTATATTTTGGAACTCCATACACAGTTGAACTTAGGTCTGGGGGTTGCTAATGTGGTATTGAGGCTAAAAGATGAATAAAGAAATTTCTGTGATGAATCCTCTCCTGGCAACCCTTCCAATCACCCGAGTGGCCTTATCACAAAGTTGGGGAAACTTTGGCCTTCCAGATGTCTTCAGCTTTAACTCCTGGAAGGCCTAGCTGACAGGGTGAATGGTGAAGGATTCTGGCAACAGAGTTTCTCCACCATGGCCTTAGGCAAAGCTTAGTCACAGCCTCATCCCCACCTGGAGCATAGATTTCAAGATCCTGACCCGCCTTATGACACCGTTGGAAGAAGTTAGAAATATCTTTATTAAAATACGTGCGAGCCAACGTGGTGTAGTGGACAGAGTATCAGACTAGGACTCAGGAGATCTGGGCTCGAATCCCCATTCGTCCAAGGAGACGTACAGGAGAAACAGAACTTGCAAAACCGTTCCTTGAAAAAGTTCTCTTGCACAAAAACGGTTAGGGTTGTCATCAATCAAAAGCAACTTGATAGCAGAACAACATTAAAAAGTTAAAATATTTAGCACCCTCTGGCCCCCACGGCTATCAAAAGTAAGGTACAATGAAATAGATATAAACATGTACTTTAAAATACAGTTTCAATATGTATGAAGTGTTGCTCTGCATAGGGATAGACAGGAATAATCATCCATTCCCTCCCACCCCCCTCATTGGCAAAAGACTGCAGTTCCACACCCCGAAGCGAGAAATTCCCGACATTAAGCTTGCATCTGTCCTGGCAGAAACAGCACCGATTTCGGGAATATTCTTATCAGCCCAACCTGCTGGGATTCTGGCCTTGATCCTTTACCAAATGACCCCCCTCCCTTGAAAAGAAGCAAGCCAAGACAGGTACCTAGGGAGTAAGGCACAAAAGCTTCCTTCTTGACAAACTTCCCATCTGCGTCAAGAAAATGGTTCGGGTTGAACTCGTGGGGCGTCTCCCAGTGATGTGGATCGAGGAGCACCGAAGTGAGGGAAGGAATCACCATCGTTCCCTGGTGGTGGTGGTGGAGGAAAACAGAGATGGGGTTTAGAAACAGATCACACATTAAGGAAGGATAAAAGCATCAAAACTGAAATCTTTCTGTCTCTTTTGCAGGCACTTCTCCTTTCTGTATTGCCGCCTAGAGCGGTCGAAATGACTAGATAGGCGGGGTATAAATACAATCAATCAATCAATCAATCAATCAATCAATCAATCAATCAATAAATAGCAGTCTGCCACACAACATTAAACAAGCCGAGCTTTTCCCTCCTTGCTACGGAAAACCTTTCTTGTCACTGCTAAGAGCAAAAGAAAATGCTACGTTCCATTTGCACCCACACTTCCAAGTGGGAAGGAGTTCCGGGGACCCACTTTCCCCCCCAGGATTCGGTTTTTCAAGAGTGCGCCGCTTGGTTTGTGGCATTTCTGTGATCAAAGGGTCAATCTTGATCACATCCTTTGCAGAGGTATTCCCCCAAGTGGTGGAAGATGTCATTTTGTCATAGCCCCTGATTTTCCTCACCTTCGTACCTTGCATTTAATGTGCTTTGTCTTGGGATTCATCGCTGCAAGGGAAGACACAGGCTTAAATTGTAAATCGGATTGCTGAGGCATGAAGCTGTGAGGAAATGCTCTTGTGGAAAGCCAAATGTCTAGTTTGCCCCTAAGATTTATTCACACATTGTTGTTGTGTAATTATTTAGTCGTGTCCGACTCTTCGTGACCCCATGGACCAGAGCATGCCAGGCCCTCCTGTCTTCCACTGCTTCCCGGAGCTGGGCCAAATTCAGGTTGGTTGCTTCGATGACACTGTCCAACCATCTCGTCCTCTGTCGTCCTCGTCTCCTCTTGCCCTCACACTTTCCTAACATCAGGGTCTTTTCCAGGGAATCTTCTCTTCTCATGAGATGGCCAAAGTATTGGAGCCTCAGCTTCAGGATCTGTCCTTCCTGTGAGCACTCAGGGTTGATTTCCTTTAGAATGGATCGGTTTGTTCTCCTTGCAGTCCAGGGGACTCTCAAGAGTCTCCTCCAGCACCACAATTCAAAAGCACCAATTCTTCAGCGGTCAGCTTTCTTTATGGTCCAGCTCTCACTTCCATACATCACTACAGGAAAAACCATAGCTTTGACTATGTGGACCTTTGTCGGCAAGGTGATGTCTCTGCTTTTTAAGATGCCCTCTAGGTTTGTCATCGCTTTCCTCCCAAGAATCAGGTGTCTTTTACTTTCGGGGATGCTATCACCACCTGCAGTGATCATGGAGCCCAAGAAAGTAAAACCTGTCACTACCTCCATATCTTCCCCTTCTATTTGCCAGGAGGTGATGGGACCAGTGGCCATGATCTTAGTTTTTTTGATGTTGAGCTTCAGACCGTTTTTTGCACTCTCCTCTTTCACCCTCATTATAAGGTTCCTTAATTCC